GCGTCCGTCCACTGCTCCTCTGCGTGCCCCTTTGCCTTCTCCTCCTGAGTCCTCTCTTCCTGCTCTTCCCGACCCGGAGTCGGACTCTCTTCGTGCTGCCAGTCCTACTGTCACGCGTCTCCTTGCTACTGTCGTCACTGACCCTTCCTTTGAGTCCACTGCTGCGTCTGCCCTAGTTGCTGAGCTCGTCGACTTTGCTGCTCGCTGTCGTCTAGACTACGCTGCTAGTCTTGTCGTTGCGTCTGAGTCTGTCTGTCCTCCGTCCGTCGGGGGTGAGTGTGCCCTTGGCACGGACGTCCTTGAGGACAGGCAGGAGCAGTTCCAGTGTTTCGCTGCTGCTTCACCTCATCTCGTGTCCGTACTGCTTACCCCTGAGGGAGACCCGCATGCACTTGACATCCCGACTCCGCGCTCTTACGCGGAGGCGATAGAGGGTCCCTACTCCTCTCAGTGGCAGGCAGCTATGGACACAGAGATGGCTTCCTGGAAGTCCACAGGCACCTACGTTGACGAGGTTCCCCCGCCTGGGGCGAACATTGTCAGTGGCATGTGGATTTTCAGGGTGAAGCGACCGCCGGGTTCTCCGCCTGTCTTCAAGGCATGTTACGTGGCTCGTGGCTTCAGTCAGCGGCAGGGAGTTGACTACTTTCAGACCTTCTCTCCCACCCCGAAGATGACCACTCTTCGGGTACTGCTGCACATAGCTGCTCACCGCGACTACGAGCTGCACTCTCTTGACTTCAGCACTGCTTTCTTGCAGGGCAGCCTGCACGAGGAGATCTGGCTGCGTCGCCCACCTGGCTTCACTGGGTCTTTTCCTCCTGGCACCCAGTGGAGCCTCCGGCGGCCAGTCTACGGTCTCCGCCAGGCACCGCGTGAGTGGCACGACACACTGAGGACTACACTTGCGGCTCTTGGGTTTGCTCCCTCTACTGCCGACCCGTCGCTGTTTCTGCGCACCGACACTTCTTTGCAGCCGTTCTACATCCTCGTGTACGTCGACGACTTGGTCTTTGCCACAGCTGACACTGCTGGACTCGCCCACGTGAAGTCCGAGCTGCAGAAGAGACACACGTGCACAGACCTGGGTGAACTGCGCAGCTACCTTGGCTTGCAGATCACCCGGGACAGAGCACGCCGCACCATTACCCTGACTCAGTCACACATGGTGCAGCAGGTCCTTCAGCGCTTCGGCTTCACGTACTCCTCACCTCAGGCCACTCCTCTGCCTACTCGCCACTCGCTCTCAGCTCTGCCTTCGGATGAGTCCGTAGAGTCGAGTGGCCCGTACCCAGAGCTTGTTGGCTGCCTCATGTACCTGATGACCTGCACACGACCTGACCTCGCATACCCTCTTAGCATTCTCGCACGCTATGTTGCTCCTGGGAGACACAGACCGGAGCACATGGCTGCAGCGAAGAGGGTGTTGCGTTACTTGTGCAGTACGTCGGGCATGGGGCTTGTGCTTGGAGGGCAGAGTCCAGTGGTCCTCACTGGGCACGCAGACGCTTCTTGGGCTGACGACCAGGCTACGCAGCGGTCGTCACAGGGTTACACCTTCAGCCTTGGTTCCGGCTCTGTTTCGTGGCGGGCTACCCGCTCGTCTTCTGTTCTCGGCTCCAGTTGTGAGGCTGAGATCTACGCCGGGGCCATGGCTGCACAGGAGCTTCGCTGGCTCACCTACCTGCTGACTGACCTCGGAGAGCCGCCTCGTTCTCCTCTAGTGCTGTACGTAGACAACAAGGCCATGCTGGCCTTGTGTCGAGAGCAGAGACTGGAGCACAGAACGAAGCACATTGCTCTCCGCTACTTCCTTGCTTGTGAGCTACAGCAGCGTGGTCAGCTGCGGCTTGCGTACGTGGCCTCTCAGGCCAACACTGCTGATATCTTCACCAAGGCACTTGCGCCTTGTGATCATCAGCGCTTCTGTACTCAGCTGGGTCTTGTGCCTACCTTGACTCACTTGCTCACCCCTTGACATTGTTTGTATTGTTGCATATATATATACACCTGCTCTTGCTTGTCTAGCCTTATATATATATGTAATCCTGCATGTGAACTGGCCTTGTGGCCTTGAACTTGTGCTCGGAATGTGTGGTGACTTTGTGATCCACCCTGAGCTTGCTTTGCTGTGCTTGACTGGTCTTGTGACCCCTTGTTCTCCCCCACTTTGCCTATGGGGGTGTGTCAGATTTATATGACATAGCTACTGTAGGCTATAGTGGGGTAGCACATATGGGGTACAGTTTTCTAGGGTTTACATTTGTACCCAACTTTCCCTTAGTCCACCTATTCTCGTTTCTATTTTAACATTTGCAGCAGTAAGAGGAGTCTATTACGTAAAAGCGGGCACCGATCGCATCTGGGTACCAGGTTACACGCTCCTACGGGAATTACTGTTGCAAGAGGCACACGACGGAGTCACCTCAGGACATTTCGGAGTAGAAAAAACACGGCAGCAGCTGCGGCGGTATTATTACTGGCCCGAAATGCTGACCGACGTGCAGCGACACGTGGCATCGTGTCCCACCTGCCAAATCATGAAATCATCACGGAAGCGACCGGCAGGACAGTTGCAGCCGATACCACCCCCAGAGCGTGCTTGGCAGCAAGTGACGATGGACTTCGTCACGGGGTTACCGGCGGGAGCAAGTGGGAACGACGCGATCCTGGTCGTCGTCGATCGGCTAACGAAAATGACACATTTCGCAGCCTGCAAAAAATCAATCACAGCCGAAGAAACGGCACGCCTCTTCATCGCAACCATCGTTCGGTTACACGGGATACCAGCAGCAATCATCAGCGATCGCAATACGAAATTTACCAGCAATTTCTGGCGGAACCTGTGGCAGCAGTTCGGCACGAGACTACAGTTCAGCTCTTCGTACCATCCCGAGACCGACGGACAGACAGAACGGACAAATCAAACCATGGAACAGTTAATCCGAGCCACGTGCGACAACCCGACCACCTGGGAGCAGCAGCTGCCACTCATCGAATTCGCGTACAACAACTCGCCATCCGCCACGACCCAACAGTCGCCATTTTACCTGAACTACGGACAAGACCCTACAGTACCCATGACCCCAAGCCTCGACAACCCCGTACCACGTGCGCAACAGTTCGCAGAAATATTACAGGCAACACGAACAAGGGCAGCTGAGGCAATCAAAAAAGCCAACGTCATCCGCCACCGCAGGCCCGTCACTTACCAGCCCGACGACTTAGTTTTACTCGACACTCAAAACCTCCGCCTGCCCATAACCCCGAAACTCCGCCCCCGATATTGCGGGCCATTTCGCATCAGCCGCATGATCACGCCTGTCACCACCCACCTCCTCCTCCCCGCTGACTGATACGTCAGCCCGTCCTTCCACGTCAGCCTGCTTCGCCCCTACATTCCATCCACCAGCCAACTGGCCCGAAATCGCCCAGCCGGCATGACACGACCACCGACCGAGCCAGTCATCACGCCCGAGAAAATTCTGAGCCACCGAGTTTGTGACCCACGAGGAGCAAGAAGGATTGAATTTCTAATCTGCTGGAGAGATCGCACGCCCACCGAGGACAGTTGGGTTCCACTGGACAAAATCGAAAACCACCCCGTCCTCACCGAGTATCTGCGCAGCCGGAACTTCAGGGATATACACGCGCTCTCGTAAGAAGAGGCCTCCTTAAGGGAGGGGGTAGTGTAAGGAAAATCACTTTTCCTTACTTTGCGTCCCTGCTCAGCGCGTACACAACTGTTCCCGCCAACAGCACCCCACAATATCCCGTTACAACTCGCGACCCCATTCCCGCCACTGTTCACGATGCGACCCAACCTCACGGTTCGGTTGGTAACCCGCGCTCCGGACCTCCGCCTCAACAGTCCCCCAACCTCGGCACCAGGCCCGTCGCGCACCCCATTTCCCACACGTTACCGTTACCACTGTAGCTTCGCTATATATTCTTCGCTCAATTCTTCGCTCATTGTATTCTTGCCTCGATAGTGCAATCCTCGCTCGCTCACTCAATTGCACTCGTAACAGTACCGTATGTGAGAACAAGATGAATTTATTATAGCAAAGAGATACCGATACAAGGTTTTATATGATTACAAGGAATACGAAGGGTTTAACTGTAATTGCTGTTGTGGTTCGATACAGCGACGACTCGGGCAACTGCTCAATAGCGAGTCAGTTATTTGTCCTTGCTGTCGCGCTGCCTTTGTCAAGGTCGCTGACCTTTGACTTTCGCTTCAACCTCCTGCTGTTGTCGCCTTGTCAACCGCTTTGGTTGACTCGGTGTTGCTTCGCTGTGAGTGTGCTTCTCTTTTGTTGTAGAGCTCGATACTTCAGAAGCAGGCCCTCAGATTGGTTTGAGGGTATGCTGATCGATCAGCGTGCCCCGGCCGCCCAGGTGTCCAAATCAGCGTTCATGGTTTTTTTTATACTGATTTTGCCAGTGTAAAAATCATAAGTAGACTGAACCATTTGTGTAAAAAAGAAAAACAAAGTTGAATCACCAATTCAACTCAAAGTTTGCCGCTGTGAGAGTTCCTTCCAGCGATGCAAAGCACGTCGGCACGCGATCTGCTGTACAGCGCATGGCATCTCCAAGTGTGTGGGTGGGGTCTCGTGAATCCCGGGCCAGGTACATACTATACACACGCGTACCCCCCCCCCCCCCCCCTCCCGAATCGGTCAAGTCCGTTTCAGTGTGACTCACGACACTACACTGATTCGTCAGTGTTACTTCTACAGCAACACGGAAAATGGTCAGTGTGGCAAGGTAGTTTATACTGAAATTTCAGTGCAAAATTGAAGCATATGCTGAATTTCCAGGGAAAACGAAAATCACAGCTACAAAATCAGCCTAATCAGCATGTTTTACGCTGATATCTGAGGGCCTGTTCAGAAGCGTAAACTAAATGTTTCCAACATCTTTGACCTAATGCAACCCATTCTCCTCACATGATTCTAACAGTTTGGCCTGACTTGGGCACAACCCCAAGAATCCTAGCTCCGATAAATTGTGGCTTGGCCTATCCTCGCAGAAACCGTCTCCTTATCCAAACTACTACACCCAAATATATCCAACCATTTGAGCCCCGTAAGGTGTGTGATCGACCCAGGTAGGGCCAGCAACCCCTCGCAATCCCTCAAATCCAGCTCCCTGAGCCTCGGCAAATACCCGATGTCGCCCGGAAGGCTTTTCAGCTGGATACACCCCTTGAGGTAAAGCCCTTCCAAGCGGACGAGTGAGGAGAGGGAGGGGGGAAGGGAGGTGAGGGAGATGCATTCTTGGAGGTTGAGGGAGCGGAGGTGGGAGAGGGCGGAGAGGCCTGGCGGGAGGGCAGAGAGGGAGGAGCAGAAGGCGAGGTGGAGGCGGTTGAGGGAGGAGAGAGAGGAGAGGGAGGAGGGGAGGGAGGAGAGAGAGAGGCAGGAGTCAAGCTGCAGGTCTCGCAGGTTGGTGAGGTGGAGGAAGAAGGTACCGTTGGGGGCAGTGGGAGAAGGGGTTTTGAGGGAGGAGGAGGAGGAGCAGGGGGAGGAGGAGGAGGAGGAGGAGGAGGAGGGGCAACCACAGCAGCAGGAGGAATCAGAACCAGCAGCAACGGCACCACAGGGGAGGTCAGGCAGGGAGGCGAGCTTGATGGATCCGGTGAGGCAGAGGCGGGTGAGGAGGGAGAGGGAGGCAAGGGAGGGTGGCAGGGCGGAGAGGGAGTCAAAACCGCTCACCTCCAGCTCCCTCAGCTGAGCCAGCTGGCCCATGCCGGGGGGGAGAGCGAGGGGTGGCGAGGGGAGGAAGGAAAAGCAGGGCTCGTGGGTATAGGAGGGGGAGTTGGTTGGACTGCATGGGACAAGGGCAGGTGGGGAATTGTGTGAGGGAGGTGTATGTGAGTGGGGATGTGGGTGCAGGCGGTTGTGCAGCTGTGGGTGTGACTCTGTGATAATGATTCCGTTACTGCCTCCATTGCAGCTGCTGCTTGTGCTCGTGCTGTTGCAGCTACCACAATAGGTCCTGCTGTCCCTGCTGCTGCGGCTGTCGCTACTGCTGCTATCTGCCATAGTGCCATCCCTGGTATCAGTGTGGGCTGATGACAGACGGGTTGGGATGCTGTGTGGTTGACCTGCAGCCCTCCCTTCACCTCCGCCATCACCGCTGCCACCACTACTGGCAGCAGCACCATTGCTGGCAGCAATAGCACTAGTGGTTTTGGTAGCAGCAGCACTAGTGCAAGCAGTTACTGCACCACCAGAGCCGTTAGTGCCGCTAACACTGCTTGCTGTGGTTGCAACCATGGCAGCACCATTTATACTGCCAATATCTTGAGTGCCACAACCGCCTGCTGCACCATCCTTGGTTGTAACACACCCGTGTCCACTCCCGCTGCTGCTGCTACTGCTGTCACCATTCATGCTTCCATCTATGTCCATCCCCATCCCGTCCCCCACCTCAACCCCCGCCCCCACGCCGCTCCCACTACACCCATTGCTCACTACAATCAGCTTCTCCAGCCGCCCCAAGCACGCCAGCGACGGCGGCAGCAGCACCGTTCTGCACCCATCCAGCCTCAGCTCCCGCAGCCCCTGCATCCGCGCCACGCTCCCCGGCACCCACTGTAACGCGGTACACCTGGTTACCACCAGCCGCTCTAACTCAGCCAGTGCAGTCAGGGACGCGGGGAGGGCGCGCAGGGACGAGCAGCCTACGAGAACGAGGGCGCGGAGGCGGGGGTAGGTGCACGGAGGGAGGGGGGAGGTGCACGGGAGGAGAGGGCGAGAGGGGGGATGAGGACATTTGGTCACGAGAGAGAGACGGCTGAATCCGTCATTGAGAGTGGTTGGGAGCGGTGCGGAGTCGGCTGTTGCATCCAACCCAACTTTCTGACCCTGCTCTTGCCTCTGCTGCCCCTGCTGCCCCCGCTTCTGCCCCTGCTGCTGCCTTTCCTCCTGCTGCTCAGCTGCCCATCCTTCCGCTCCGGATTCTGCGTGCACAGCTTGCCCTCCTCCCTCCCCTCCAGACGTACCCAGGCCCTCTCCTTCCGGCAGCCGCAGAGCCACCAGCTCGCAGCACTCCTCCACCACCAGCCGCTCCAGCCGCGTCATCGCGCGCATCGCTACAGGCAGACTCGTTAACCCCTTACACTGTCGCAGCTGTAGCTCTTTCAAACGGGTCAGCGCGCCTACGGATTCGGGCAGGCTCGGCGCGCAGGACAGACCCAGAACGAGTTTTTCCAGCTGGCCGAGGCTCGTAACTGGGTCGGGCAGGCCTAAAAGATTGTCAATGTCTTCTAATTGGAGCTCTCGCAAATAAGTCAGCTGGTCTAGGGTTTCGGGCAGAGAGGAGAGATTAGGAAGCGAGGCGAGGCGCAGGGTTTTAAGAACGGATAGACGGCCTAGATCGTCCGGGAGAGACTCTAGTCGCGTGCAGTCGGAAACTTCCAGGAACTCGAGCTCGGCTAGGTCGGGCAGGGAGGGCGGGAGGCCGACGAGGCGATGGCACTTGCTGATTTCCAATTCGCGTAAGAGTGGTAACTGCCCGATGTCTTCGGGCAGCAGTGTAAGGTTACCGCATCGGCTTATAACGAGTCGCTCGAGGGAGTGTAGCTGCGGCAGCGAGCAGGGCAGTTCGAGCAATCCCCCGCATCCGTCGAGCTCCAATACGCGCAGGCACGGCAGCTGCCCGAGATCGTCGGGCAGCGACGTGAGCCAGTAGCAGGAGCTTATAACGAGGACGTCGAGCAGCTGCAGGTCGCATAACGAATCCGGCAGCTGCTCGAGATTGTCGGATTTCTCGATGCGCAGATGCGTGAGACCCGCGAGGTCGCCGAGCGAGTCCGGTAGGCACGGCAGCGCGTTGCACGAGAGCAGCCGTAAATCGCGGAGCGTACTTAATCTCCCCGGAAAGACTTCCGGGAAGAGCTTCAGGCTCGGCGCTTCGAGCTGGAGCCGGCGCAGCGCGGAGAGGTCGAGGAGCGACGCGGGGAGCGATTTGATGTTCGGCGCGCAGTGCACGCTCACGTTCTCAAGCCGTCTGCATCCGCAAAACACGCTCGCCAGACCCGCCTCGCTCACCGCGTCGACGAGCGGCGGCCGAACCGGCAGCCGAACCTTGCCCAGGAAGAGGTACGTCAGGTTCGGGCATCCCGAGCCTAGGGCGCGCAGGAAGCGATCGTCGATGAAATCAATCGTGTGGCTGTCGAGGTGCAGGCGAGTTAGGTTCGGAAACTTGCGAAGCGCTTGCTCGAGACGGCGACAGAGGAGCTCGCGTTTGGGGGAAAAGGAGGCGGCGGGGGAGGCGGTGGAAGACGCGGAGAGGACTGTGAGGGAGGTGAGCGCGAGAGGCGCGACGCGGGACCAGCGCTTGCAGACGAGAGCCGCCTGGTAAGATGGGAGAGAACCGCAAGTGCTTATGTCCGATGTGCTTGTATTGGAAGTGGTGGGATTGGCGGCGAGGACTAGGCGGAGAATGGAGGTGAGAAGATCGTCAGATAGCGAATGGATCGGCGAAGCGGAATCGTCGCCGGGAGACTCGGCGACGACGGACGACGAGCGAGAATCCATCGCCTGGCCAATTCGGCGTCGCTCGGCTAACTGCGGCGTCGCCGAGCTGATTGGAACGTCGCTCGGCCCGCTCGCTAGTGGTAAAATGCGCAAGCCTGGCCAAGGCGAAAGGCGAAAGGCGGAAAGCGAGACGACTTGCTTAGCGTCGCGCGAGCATGTGGAAATTAAAGGTTATGTGATGAAGCCTCAATGAATACCTGTCCCTTGCATATCTGTCCGACGGTACTATGCAGGTGTGAAGTGAAACAACACACCTGCCAGCATTGCCGCAGCGTGGGGATGAGGATACAGCGCAAAGGACGGAAAGGGCGGGTGGGTGGGCGAATGGGCAGAGATCGAGGTTGGTGGATGATGGGGTGCAAGGTCAATGCTCGGTGGTTGTAAGGAAAATTTCTTTTCCTTACTTCGCGCCCCTGCTCGGTGGTTGAAACGTTACCCGCTCGCAACTCTCGCCTCGACCACGACTCCTGCCACTGTTCACAATGCGACCCAACCTCACAGTTCGGTTGGTAACCCGCGCTCCGGACCTACGCCTCGACATTCCCAACCTCGGCGCTAGGCCCGTAGCGCACTCCAATTTCTCGCGTTGCCATTATTTCGCTAGCTTCGCCATATATTCTTCGCACATGTCTTCGCTCAATGTAGGGTTTTGCTTCGATAGTGCAATTCTCGCTCGCTCGCTCAATTGCACTCGTAACTGTCAGAATAATGAACGAGGATGAATGAACTATGAAACAGTTGGGTACAAGTACTAACTCTAATTGGGTTGTACCCCTTATGGGCTACCCCACTATAACCTACACAAATGTAAGCACTATAATGTTCTGACACACCCCCATAGGCAAAGTGGGGGAGAACAAGTGGTCACAAGACCAGTCAAGAAAAGCAAAGCAAGCTCAGGGTGGATCACAAAGTCACCACACAGTCCGAGCACAAGCAAAGGGCCACAAGGCCAGTTCACATGCTGAGTTATGTAAAAAAGAACAAACAATACAGTGATAATACCCTAGCAAGTGTAAGCATGCAGGTATATATATAGATCACAGTACAAGCAGAGTCAAGCAGTGAGCAAGTGAGGCAAAGTAGGCACAAAGCCTAACACAGTAGAGAAGCGCTGACGATCACCAGGCGTAAGTGCCTTGTTGAATATATCAGCAGTGTTGGCCCTAGTGGCCACGTACGCAAGACGAAGCTGGCCACGCTGCTGCAACTCTCGAGCAAGGAAGTATCGCAGAGCGATGTGCTTCGTTCTGTGCTCCAGCCTGTGCTCCTTACACAAGGCAATCATGGCCTTGTTGTCTACGTACAGAATTGGAGGCGAACGAGGCTGCTCTCCCAAGTCAGTCAGCAGGTAGGTGAGCCAGCGTAGCTCCTGTGCACCTATGGCCCCGGCGTAGATCTCAGCCTCACAACTGGAGCTGAGAACTGAAGACGAGTGGGTTGTCAGAATCCCAACCACTAGACCATTGGGATAAAAGGGCTTGTTAAGTAGCGGGTCAGTGCGCCCATAACCCCCCAGGACAACGAGCCTGTAACCCTTCCCTAGGATCAATCGAGGATCACCAGTGGACCTCTGACACTCCCCCGCACTGGGATGCCCGAAGTGCACACACTGGGATTAGAACCCGAGACCTTCGCTCTGATACCATGTCAGAATCCCAACCACTAGACCATTGGGATAAAAGGGCTTGTTAAGTAGCGGGTCAGTGCGCCCATAACCCCCCAGGACAACGAGCCTGTAACCCTTCCCTAGGATCAATCGAGGATCACCAGTGGACCTCTGACACGGGTAGACCGCCAGGAGACAGAGCCGGAACCTAGGCTGAAGGTGTAACCCTGTGACGACCACTGTGTAGCTGAGTCGTCAACCCAAGAAGCGTCTGCGTGACCAGTGAGGACAACTGGACCCCGTCCTCCAAGCACGAGCCCCATGCCCGACGTACTGCACAAATAATGCAGTACCCTCTTTGCAGCATCCCAGTGCACCTTTCAGTGCCTACCGGGAGCCACGTAGCGGGCCAGAAGGCTGAGAGGGCACGCGAGGTCAGGTCAAGTGCACGTCATCAGGTACATGAGGCAACCCACAAGCTCTGGGTACGGACCTGTTGAAAACAGCAGTTGAAAGTTAGAAATGAGAAAAGAGGGTTTTCACTAGCAAGCAGTTGAGTACATATAGGAAACCCTAGATTGGGCTGTACTCACTATTGAGTACCCCACTGCAGGCTAGACAAATACAACATATTCTGACACACCCCCATAGCCAAAGTGGGGTGTAATCAGCACAAGCAAGCAAAGCAAAAAACAAGCTCAGGGTGGATCACAACGTCACCACACATTCTGAGCACAAGTACAAGAAGTAGCAGTTTATAGTTCACAAATACAAGCAAAGCTAGAGGCTATCACAGAGGGCAAGTGAGGAGGAGGAGGGACTATGGGAGGAGAGGAGGTAGGAGGAGACGGGTGAAGCTGCAGACACACGGGCAACAAGAGCGGCGCGCACTGTGGCTACCGGAGATTGTAGCCTCCGGACTACTGGAGTAACTGGCTCCGCGGCTAACTCTGAGCGGCAGGAGCAACGGACCCACGGGCGACTGGCGCAGCAGGCTCGCTGGGCTACCGGAGATTGTAGCCTCCAGACTACTGGCGCTGCTGGCGACACGACGGCTACCTCCGTCCAACCTCCCTCTAACTGTCTCACCCCCCTTTCACCCACCCCCTGCTGCACCCCTAAGTTCACTCACACTCCACCCCCTAGCACCACTCCGTCGACTCACACACACCCACCCCCCTCAGCGGCAGCTGCAGCAGTGGGAGACAGAGTAGGAGGAGGAGCAGGGGATGCCACACACCCTCCACCCAGCTTTCACCCCCATACTCGCCAACCCCAAACCCCAACACAGGGTAGGGCCGCGACGAAGACGAGGGCAGGGCCGGGCAGGGCAGGGCCGGGACAGGGCCGGGCAAAGCAGAGCCGGGCAGGGCCGCGACGAAGACGGGAGGGGCCGACGCGTGGCCCCCTTCTGTCGCCCCTCGCCCCCCCCCCCAGGGTCGCCTCGACAGGCGACAGGAATGAGGGCCGCGCAGGCCCCCGTTGGCGCCGCGACGGGTGACGAGGGGGCCGCGCACGAGCCTCCTCGGGCGACGAAACCGCCTTGCGCCCCGGGGCGCGCGACGGGCAGGGCACCGCCGCGCGCCACGGGGCGCACGACGGGCAAATCAGGGCATCGCGCGGCCCCCAGGGCGGCGCGACGGTAAGAAAACCGCCGCGCACCTCGAGCGCGCGGCGGGAAGAAAAAAGGCCGCGCGCCATGGGCGCGCGGCAGGCAAGCAGGCAGCGCGCGCCCGAGGCGCGCGATAGACAGAGTAGCAGCAGCGGAAGTATTGGGTGGGCCCATCCACAGGATCGACCCGTGAAGGTCGACCTGCTCTGATTCCATGTTGAAAACAGCAGTTGAAAGTTAGAAATGAGAAAAGAGGGTTTTCACTAGCAAGCAGTTGAGTACATATAGGAAACCCTAGATTGGGCTGTACTCACTATTGAGTACCCCACTGCAGGCTAGACAAATACAACATATTCTGATAGGACCACTCGGCTCTAAGGACTCGTCCGAAGGTGGAGCTGAGAGCGAGTGGCCGGTAGACACACGAGTGGGCTGTGGCGAGGAGAACTAGAAGCCGAAGCGCTGAAGGACCTGGTGCACCATGTGTGACTGAGTCAGGGTGATGGTGCGCCGTGCTATGTCCCGGGTGATCAGCAAGCCAAGATAGCTGCGCAGTTCACCCAGGTCAGTGCACGTGTGTCTCTTTTGCAGCTCCGACTTCACAAGGGTCAGTGCCTCGGTGTTAGCAGTGGCAAAGACGAGGTCGTCGACGTACACGAGGACGTAGAACGGCGGCAGCGAGGTGTCGGTGCGTAGAAACAGCGACGGGTCAGCAGTAGAAGGAGCAAACCCAAGAGCCGCAGGTGTAGTCCTCGGTGTGTCGTGCCACTCGCGAGGCGCCTGGCGGAGACCGTAGACTGGCCACCGGAGGCTCCACTGGGTACCTGCAGGAAACGACCCAGTGAAGCCAGGTGGGCGGCGCAGCCAGATCTCCTCGTGCAGGCTGCCCTGCAAGAAAGCTGTGCTGAAGTCCAGAGAGTGCAACTCGTAGTCACGCTGAGCAGCGACGTGCAGCAACACCCGAAGAGTAGTCATCTTCGGGGTGGGGGAGAAGGTCTGGAATTAGTCAACCCCCTGTCGCTGACTGAAGCCTCGAGCAACGTAACGCGCCTTGAAGGCAGGCGGAGAACCCGGCGGCCGCTTCACCCTGAAAATCCACATGCCATCGACTATGTTCACCCCAGGTGGGGGAACCTCGTCGACGTAGGTGCCTGTGGACTTCCAAGATGCCATCTCGGCATCCATGGCTGCCTGCCACTAAGAGGAGTAAGGACCCGTAATCGCCTCTGCGTAAGAGCGCGGGGTCGGGATGTCTGGAGCATCCGGGTCTCCCTCAGGGGCAAGCAGCATGGAAGCGAAACGAAGTACAACATTTGCAAGACACTCAAAGTGCTCCTGCCTGTCCTCAAGGACGTCCGTGCCAAGAGGACACTCACCCCGGACGGACGGAGGACTGGCAAACGCAGACTCATCAACAAGATCAGTGGCGTAGTCTAGATGACAGGCAGTAGCAAAGTCAAGCAGCTCAGCAACGAGAGCAGACGCAGCAGCAGACTCAAAAGAAGGGTCAGTGACAGCAGTGGCGAGGAGACGAGAGACATTGGGGCTGGCAGCACGAGCGCGGTCAGACTCAGGGTCAGGGACCTCAGGAAGAGAGGACTCAGGAGGAGCAGGCAGAGGAACACGCAGAGGAACAGAGGAAGGACGAAGGGTCATAGCGTGCGTGCCGGGGACAAGAGGAGGACGCGAATGAGGAACGCGACGAGCAGTGCGAACAGGCGAGACAGGACGAGACGCAGGCTCACGACGCTCTGTAAGACCGCCAGACTGCTCAATGTA